TCTTGCCGGTCCACAGGACCAGCTGTCGCTGCTGCTGCAGGGCCTCCGCGACTTCATCCCCGAGCAGAACAAGACGGCGCTGGAGGCGGCCATCAACTCACTGCGTGAGGAACTCGAGTTCGACGGCCGTGCCATGGACCAGATCCACCGGGCACTCTACCTCTTCCAGGACGCGGTGAGTGGCGCCGCTTCCTGGAGACACCGGTACCAGTACTGGTAGCTCGGGTTCCCAGAGAGAATCAGGGCGGGAGTGGTGACCGATTCCAGTCTTGCCTCCATCCATGCCGTGTTTTGTTTGGCTTTCATTTGCAGCTCGTCACTTTCTTTGAAATCCAAGTTGGTACTGGCAGTGGCGGTGCTATTCTTGCAATCGCCGCTCTTATCGGGTATTTCTGCTCGGCGGTCATGATGATGTAGCCAACCGCTGTCTTCCTCTTCCTTCCCGCTCAGTCCCGTCGCCCACGCCACACCCACGCGCGGCGGGTCCAGACTTCCGGTGTGTCCTAGTGGCTGATCCTGTCGATGCTTGCCAACGTTTTTGCTGTCTAGTGCCATAAATTATATCAAGTTTCAAGTCATTGTAGATTGTTTCCGTTCTCTGTATGAAGCGGGAGCATTTGTGTAGCCTTGCTCTGTTGTTTCCTCGTAGACGTGGCACGCGCGGTGCTTCATCCTTGAGTTGTAGTGGAAAAAACTTTTGTTCATGAATTAAAATGCAACATTAAGGTGTCTGTGTCGACCATGCTGCACGAACGTTGAACTATTTTTTGGAACTATAGCTGAAAGGGAAAACTGTGCTGTGGAAATTGACGTCCAGGATGTCATCACTATTCATTCCAGTTCTCTGGTTTGGACTGTGAGTTAGCCATAGGCCGGGTAGCGTGGTGCCTATCAGTCTCGGCATCAGTGGTGATATCTGAAGTCCGGCATTTTACTACACTCGGACACTGTTTAATGTACATTGTACGTGCCTGATCGGCGGCATTTTAAGTGTTCATGTCTGCAGTTTTGGTCTAGTCGTGTGCGAGCTGTGCATTGTGCAATGTGCATGTCTGGTGTTCATATCATTGTTAGCGTTTTTGGCTGCAGTTGGGGTTTGGGCCTTTGTTTGACTTTGTTCTAAACGTAGGATATTTTTGCGCCTTAAGTCGTCCGGACACTATGTCGTCTGTAAGTGTTGAAAACACCTCGCCTTGTTTCGTCTGATGTGCCGACGCCAGTGATGCTCCTCCCTCCGATGGGTCGGTGTTTCATAAGTAACATGCGCGTCCATCGAATGACTTGTTGCCCCCAGTAACTCTTGTCTCCCTAGTGATTCTTGTCTTGCCGGTTTCTCTTCTAAGCAGCGACTATTTGCCCTCCTTTGACGTCATCCACCATTATGTCGCCAGGTGAACACTGCGCTCCGCTCTCACAACATCAAGCCCCACTGGATGTTCGCTCTGGACAGCCTGGTGCGCAGCGCTATACAGATGGCCATTCTCATACTGTCTCCCGGTAAGCATAGGGTTTTGGGTATGGCGTGAGATTCAGTCTCCCTAGTGTGACAGCTTTGCCAGTCGCGCCGCCACTAGTCTGTGCTTTGGGGAGATGGACCTTTACAGAAGTAGCCAGAAACCAGAACGTTACGAAAATGGACCGTTGTGCTATCGTTGTCCCATGGGCTGCCCTGTGATGATGTGCGCTCTAACCTATTATCTGTTCCTCTCTGCAGAGCTGGGCGCCAACCTGCTCGGCGACCAGGAGTCGGAGGGTGACGCCGACGAGGCCGACTCGGCGGTGGGGGCCGGCGGCACGCTGCACCCGCCGGAGCCGGCTGTGGGCGCGCCGGCTGAGCCGCCGGCCGCCGCCGCCGGCGCAGGGGCCGCGGCCGCCGGCCCGGCGCCCGCCGAGGAGGGCAGTACCAGCGGCGTCTCCACCATCAACTCTGTGCGACACGACGACTACACGCCGCAGACGCTGGCCGACCTGCACCGGCTGCGCAGCGAGAACAAGCGCCTGCTCAGCGAGCTGCTCGAGTCGCAGCGCGACTACAAGGAGCTGCTGCGCTGGACGCTGTCCGACAAAACGCTGCAGATCCAGCTACTGGCCGGCCTGTCTCCCGGCGGCCCGCAGCAGCCACATCACCGCCAGCGGCAGGACACAGAGTGAGTGCGCCGTGCCATGGATTTCTCGGACCAGCCGTGGAGATATACTTGTGTACGCATTAGTCAATCCACCGCGCAGTTTAGTGTGCCATTCTTCGCAAACGCTGTGCGGCGCCTGATCCCTTGCTGCTACTCAGTCCTGTAGGTACAAATGATAGGCGGGCGTCTGTCCTGTTTCGTGACTCGGCTCTCCGTCCGACAGGTACAGCTCGCAGGTGTCAGTGGCCGACTCGGGTATTGCCGCCTCCCCTGTATAACTACCCTGTCCCTGTGCTGACCGCTCCGTCCCCCGTTGTCTCACAGGTACAGCTCGCAGGTGTCGGTGGCCGACTCGGGTATCGCCGCCTCCCCTGTACTCCCGCCGACGGCCGGCGGCCAGCTGACGGCACCGGCGGCCGGCGCGCCGCCTCACATCCAGGTGTCTGCCGATTCTGACGGCTCCCTGGTCGACTGGCTGGTGCAGCACGGCGCCGACCACCTCACCGTCTCACGGGTGAGCAAAGCTGCACTCACCATATTCCGTACACGTCATGTGCTGGTACCTATTGGCCCAGTCCCATGGATCAGTATGAGGCGGCACTGTATTCACTTGGAACATCGGTACAATTACTGCAGGTGTACTATATTTAAAAAGTAGTGCGGGTCAGTGCGGTCGTGCCTGCGCTATTGTGAATGTCAATAGTTACTGTATTCACCCGGTGCGGGTGAGTACGGTTGCGCACACGACGTGAGCTCATTCCTGTCCACGACATATGTGAAATGCAATGGCAGTGCATTGCCGGGCTAATTGCGCAGTGTGCTTTCATCGTTGGCAATATTAAGTTGCGTCCGGCTTAGTGAGGCGGCTCCATCCGCAGGTTGGGGAGGGGGGGGGGGCTCTGTGCCAATTTCACTATTCATAATCCCCGCACTGCCTGCGGTCAGGGCCACGAGAAAGAGGGTAGATCAATGTTCATATTTCATGACGCCCTCGACAGTAATTGTCCGTCTGCCGACGGTCAACTCATGGAACTGCACAAATAACGGGCCCATACTTACCTTGGATTGTGTGTGTGGTTTGTGTCGTTTTGTCGTCAGGTGTTTTATTTGCGCATGGTTATCCCGTTTTCGCCCAGCTGAGTAATGAGTATCACGCTCACTGACATTGTCTATTTTTTTCAGTTCATCAACGAGGGCTACCACCTGGACGATGTGCTGGCCATGATGACCCGGGAGGACCTGCGGCGGCTGCACCTCAGGTCAGTGACGATTTGGGCGGGTAGGATGAACTAAGGGGGACGGGGCGAATATTTGTGCACATCTCATACTGTGATGCTCGATACATTACGTAGGTGTAAGTATGGACACACCTTGCTTTAGCAAGGTGTGTGACTGTGTGTGGCTTGTCTGAAAGAATCTATGACGACTGAACGCAGTCTCCCACTCCTGGCGGCTGCTCCACAGTGCCCTGTTACCCCCCCCCCCCCCCCCCCCCCGATTGCTTCTGTCTTGCCATGCCATCTCATCACCGATGACCCGGTCGCTGACTGTTCCGACTCTTTGTTGACCAACTGGTGCACCTGACCGCGGCTCCGTAACCCGGCCCGCTCAGTACAGCTCGGCCTGCGCGGGCAGAGGGGGTTTCATCATTTCCGTGCATTGATAGTGGAGTACTCACTACTCAAACTGGGACTGTGTGCAATCAGTAATGTCATGTCCCTTTGTGTGTGCACGATGACACATTGTGTATGAATGCATGACATCAGTTTGATATCGATTGGGGTCTGTGTTGAGTGTCCAAGCGTACTGACTTCCCCGTTGCCCCTTCACCATTTTATCGTTGTTTGCTGATATGGCTGCCACCTCAGCGATTCGTCATTGATTGGGCCCCCTCCCTCTCACAGGGACGGCTGTGGCTTGCGCGAGCTCCGTCGCTGACTGTGGGCCCCTCCCTCTTACAGGGGCGGCATGGAGCTGCGGCTGTGGCGCGCGCTCTGCGAGCACCGACGGAGGCCGGCGCTCTCTCGGCAAAACTCCACCTCCGAGCTGTCGGGGGAGGAGCGGCCGGCCGGCGCGGCGCCCGGCGAGCCGCAGCTGTAGGCGGCCGGCCGGCCGGTCCCCGGCCCAGGCAGCACCGGCGGCGCGGCGGCCGCGCTAACCCGTGTAACTGGCGGCCCAGCCGCGCCGCCCCCCGTGAGACGACAGTACCTGCGGCGCGCCGCGGCGGCACGCGACCCCGCGCGCCACGAGCGCGCCCCACAGGTGGCTAGATAGGCTAACCGTGAGTAACGCTAGACAGAGAGCGGCGCCACGTCGGCCCGCCAGGTTGTGATATTAGTTAAGCCCCGAGAGCTGCGAGCGAGCAGAGTATGTCTTGCCTTCCGAGCGGTGCGTCTGACGCGGTGCCGCCCCCGGCCCGGCGGCGGTCGGCGGTAGGGGGCGGCCCGCCGGCGCGGCGCCTAGTACAAAGTACCTCCCGACAATAAGGCGACGCGCGAGGCGCCGCGGCGGGCGGAGAGTGCGCGCGCCAGCCGGCCGGCTGTAGATATTGCACCAGTACAAATGTGACGGCTGCCGCGCGGCGCCGGCCCGCCTGGCCGAATGTTTCTGAAACATGGACTAACCCGTGCCATAGGCCGGCCGCGCACCCCGCCGCGGCGCAAACTGAGAGAGCATATATCTGGTGTTTTACATATTAACTGTGTTACGTCCATAACAATGGTAATACATGGGTAACTGATAACTGTCCACGACTGTCCTTTGTGCGGGAGGAGCGGCGGCGGTTTGCGATATCAATGTGAAAAGATATCAATTGCGATATCCTTTGTGCATTCCACTAGAGATCATCATGAGACGTCACTCGAATATAAAAGCTTAACGATGTGTCGTTTATTCATAACTACAAACACGCCATTTCACATGTCAAACACATATCCGATCAGATTGTAGCTGAGCTCGACTGAAAACACACTCTTCGCCACACTGTGAGATGGTCACGCCGAGTGATGCAGGCCAGCCGGGAGTCTGTCGTGGCGAGCCGCAGCACACACGTGCAGTATTTCACTAAACTATAGCACAACACAGTGAGCTTGTGACGCTCGCTAGCGAACGCTACTTGAGCAGAGAAAGGCACACACACGCGGGATACGACATACACTCGATGAAGACAAGGCACCGGTTCCCGTTGCGGAGATAACACCCAGCGCATTACTCTAGAAATCCAGAGTTGGCCACTAGGTCGTGGTAGATCCACAGGGTTTTACACTAATCCGTCCATCTTCAGTTTGGGTGACTCAACGGATGGTCCAGAGTAAGTATGACACGGTATTGTACGGATACGACAAGGGTCCTATCCATAGACTGTGGGATCACATATGATTGTGCGCGTATGACACTTCACGCGCGTACTGGTCCACAGAGTTGCGTCGACGTACGATTGGTCCCAAGGCAGCTGTTTCTGTTCCGAGCGCTGTGAGATCACAGAGGGCCGAGTGGCTGACGTCGCCGCCCGTCCACCCAGCTCACCAGGCTAGTTTGCGTGTCTGACGGTGGTCCCGGTACTGTGAAACAGACAGACGGCCAGAAACCATGAGTCAGAATATGATCCCATAGACAACACGACATCTCTCGGACAGGGCACCTTGAACATAGCCCAGTGTGTTGCTCAGGGTTAAATCGTTCCTTACAGATGCATTCACTCATGTACACCCTCCACGATCTCTCCTGAGGTCCTCCCGGCGCGTCTCACCTGGTTGAAGCTCCTGGCGTTGAACTGCATCCTGCTGAGCTCCTGCTGGAGTCGCTCCATCTCGCGCTGGTCGGCCTCCTGCTGGTGCCGCAGCTCGCTCTGCTCCTCTCGTATCTCGGCGTCCCGGCGGCGCGTCTTGTCCTCCACCTGACACGGAGCGGGAAGGCGAGTCAGCGATAGACTGACACGGCGAACGCAGCATACAGACAAAACTGTGTCTAGGCATCGGCTGAGCGTGATAACGAAGGCAAAATAGTTTGTCACACGGAAGCAACCGACACATCATCTTAGCCAAGCCGATACGGTCCAGTGAAAAGTAAAAGTCGCCAAGGATAAGTCCTACACAGGTAGGTGTGAAGTTGGTGATTTTAACAGCGACTAACTTATTGTCACATCCCGCACCGTCTGAGCCTCAGCAGCTCTCTGCCGCTAACCTGTCTGGCCCAGCTGTCTCGCAGCTCGGCCTGCCGCTGACGGCGCAACTCCTCCGTCTGCTGCACGAAGCGGCGCTGCTCCTCGGCGCGCGCGGCCGCCGCCTCGCGCAGCTCTGCCTCGCGCTGCCGGTCGGCGCGGCACCGCTGCAGCCGCTGCTCGCTCTGCTGCCGCCAGCTGGCGACCACGTCCTCCATGAGGCGGCGACGCGCCTGCTCTTCGCGCGCCCAGTCGGCCTCGCGCCGGCGCCACAGACGCTCCGCCTCCTCACTGCAGAGGGGAGAGAGGTCAGTGGTCAGTCCTCGCTGTGTATGTGGGACAGGGGAGTCAGTCTCCGCCTCCTCACTGCAGATGGGAGGGAAAGCCAGGGGTCAGTCACTCCTCACTGCAGAAGGGAAAGGTCACTGGTCATAAGTAACAGTAAGACCACTGTGTATGGAATTGGGGAGGGGAGTCAAGTGCCGATCCGCTTCCTCACTGGAGAGGGGAGGGGAAGGCAAGGGTCAGTGTCTCTACTCGATGTCTCAGGGGCAGGGTCACACGATGACGAGTCAGCCCGTTTCCTTAATAGCCTTCGTTTAGGGGATTCCTGGGACGCTGCTACTCACTCAAGAGTCAACACGAGGCACTCACTTATCCAATCTACCAAACCAAGTAGCGATGTGATCAATGACAATAAATGATTCACCACAAACACAAGGCTCACGATCTATGATTCGATGCTTATCACAGCCGCAAAACCCACCCAGAGCACTATCATATCCCTAGCTGTTCTTACTTGAAGAGCAGCTCGAGCTGGCCGCGCCGCTGCTGCTCCAGCTCCAGCTGTTTCTGCAGCACCTGTCTCAGCTGCTTGGACTCGGCTCTCTCGGCCGCCTCTGCCAGCTTCAGACGGTCCCGGTCTCCTGCACAAGGAAATGTGGGAACGGAATAATTAAGCATCATCGCATCAAAGCAAAAATAATGCAATGGCGAAATGCCCAGAAAACATTGGGGAAATATTGAAGATGAACAGCAATCGGACACATCCGGGTACTGCAGCAAAGACAGCCGTTGAAACCTCTTGCTTTCATGCATGGACAGTAAAGACATAAACAGAATCTGTGTCACAGACACAGCCTTTCAATGCAAGTCCGTGGCTACTAAACAATTTCCAGACTTCAAACACATTATTTCTCCATAATTTACAATACGAGTTTCCAGACCGTCTGATTCAAAGCACCTACCTGAGGCCATCAGAGCGTCGAGGAAATCCTGTTCGTCTTTGAGCGCCTCCTCCACTTCTGCCGAGCGCTGCCGTAGCTTGGCGTTACACTGCTGCGCCTGGAACAGACTGGGTAACACAGAAAGGTCATAAGGGAAGATTTGGCGTTACGCTGCTGGCCCTGGAACACACTGGAGGGCACAGAGCCTTGATACACTGTACTGCCGCAACCTGGGCAGACTGGGCACTGGGTACACGAACGCCCTCCTGCCGACCCGTCCGTGACTGGAAGGCTTCTGCAGCCCGAACTCATCTTTGGCCGGAAAATCAGTACCCCAACGCCAACGTCTGTGACCGAAATCCTGAAGTCCCGACAACTGTCTACGATCGTTTGGCCCGTAATGGCTCGATCTATGACCGTATGGTCCGTCAGACCGTATAGCCTCCATCCACCCCTGCCTGTGACCTGTATGGCCCGTATCCAGCCCTCACCGTAACTGTATGGCCCGAGCCCGCCCTCCTCGGTACCTGAACTACCGTACCTGATCTGGCGACACCTGCGCCGCCGCTCGGCCTCCTGGCGACGAGCGATGGTCTCCTCGATCTGCTGGTGGCGCACCATCAGCTCGTTCTCCTGGTCCCGCAGCTCGGCCTCGGCACGCTCCCGCTCCCTGCGGCACAGAGACGACGACCGAAATCCGTGTGACTGCACAGTCCAGTGAGCCAGGAACGCCGGATCGTGGTATCGCTCGTCAGTGGTATTGGATACACATTGAATACCTACGCAACTGCTGAGCCAATAATACAAGATCGTTCTCCCAAATAAAGTTAGCTCAACGAATGAAAGATGGACCGGTGACACAAACGTTTTTATTTGTTTCGACAGCTTAAAATCCGGCTGCAAAAAGTGGTAGCTTTCACTCGCTTAACTGTGCCATGATATCACGACTATGTCGCCCCGTTAGCCGCAGACACCCACCTGATTTCCTCCATCTGCTTATCGAGCACCTCCTGCGCCTGCCGCAGACTGCGCTGGCGGGCCTGCTCCTCCTCCTGGAGTCGCCGCTCCTCCTCCTCCCACCTCCTCCTGCGCTCCTCCTCCTCTGCATCCTCCTGGTCGCGCTGGCGCTGCTCCCGCTCTGCTTTCTCGCGGATCTGCTGCTCCCACATCTGCCGCGCGCCCTCCGTCAGACGCTCAGACTCCACCTGGGGGCCGGGGGGGGGGGGGGGAGGAACGGTTAGAACTCAGAGTGGCGGCGAGGTCGACACGATAACGATGGTTTAGATGGGATGGTCGGGTAGGAACTAGAGCCACACGTTCGTGTATATTCATCAATATCAGTCTCCCGGCAAAACGTATATTTGTTATTACGGAGCGAGCGAAGCGAGCGTAGTCTTTCCTTAGATTAACGGAAATTTCTGAGTATGAGCGGCCCGCCGGCCGGCCGGCCGTGCAGACGCTTTTGCGAGGCTTATATCTCAGCAACCACTTGACCGATTTACACGCGGTAATTTTTGTAGGGTAGCTTCATTCCTTCTACCAAGCATCGGACTATTCCCGATGCGCGTGGGTGACACCTTATGCACGTTCCACGTGCAAAACGAAGAGGTGTCAGTTTTGTAATTGTTGCAATATTTCGGTAACTACTTGGCCGATTGCGCTGAAAGTTGGCATGTAGGTAGGCACCCACTAGGCACTGCATATCCATGTGCCAGAGTTGGGGTGCTGCTGCACGTGCGTACGTGCAGGGGTCGTTTCCAGATCTCGAGAACGGCTGGACCGATGGCGCTCAAATTTGGTACACGGTTAGGGACCAGTTAGTAGGGTGCCGTGCACAAGTCAGTTGGGACCCATTTTGCACGTGCGCACGTGCAGGGTGCCGCTTCCAGATCTCGAGAACGGCTGGGCCGATTGTGCTCAAATTTGGCACATCGCTAGAGACCGGTTAGTAAGGTGCCGTGCACAATTCAGTTGGAGGTACCCCCTCGAAATTTCGCACGTGCAAGGCCCACCCTCTCGCTCGCTCCGTTAGTCGCCCCAAAAGGCGTTATACTGGTGCATTATACGAATATTATGGAATGTATACAATGTAAACATATCGCATAACGAATATTCACCCTACCATCCACGCCTTCCGTCCCCGTCATCCGTCCCCAGCCGTCTCCCCATCTCCCACCATCCCCTCACCTGCCGCAGCACGGCGTTGTTGATCCGCCAGTGCTGCTCCAGTCGCTGGCGGGCCTGCTCCAGCCTCTCCTGCTCCTGGTGTCTCTGGGACTCCTCCAGCTGGGCGCGCATTGACTCAACGCGCTGCTGGCGGAGCCGGTACTCGTCCGAGTCGGAACGGCAGGCGCGCGCCCGACAGTGCGCCGGCAGCTGTGACAGCTCCATCTGTCGGCGGGAGCGGGTGGGTAGAGAACAGACTGTGACAGCGGTAGGCGCGCGACCGACAGTGCGCCCGAAGCTGTGACAGCTCCTATGACATATGGGTGTGTGAAAGGGGGTGGGAAGAGGAAAGACTGGCCCGGCACTGCGACAGCTCCATCTGTCGGTGGGGAGGTCTGTTACAGCGTGCCTTGGAAGATGGTACGAAATGGGGAATATTTGTTTCTGGTCCCTAAAAAGCTGTTTCTGGCACCTAATTGCTGATCAGCCCCAAAATGCTTATTCGACCCTAATATCTGAATCTGGCACCTAATTGCTTCCACACAGCCTAAAGTTGCCAGATCGTCTAGTTGAACTCCGTATTTGTTGTTTGCTGATTCAGCACCAAAACCAAAACATCCAGCACCTATTTTATTCCACGTTTGCCTACCTAATTCGCGTAATCTTCCTGATTTTATGTATCCTAACAACATGAACGTTGCATTCGGTGATGTCAAGTGCCATTTTCGCCAGTGGAGATAATGATTAATGCCATTTCTAGCCAAAAGAGAATCACTAGCCAGCTATGGTGCAGCATAGCAAGACGCTCCTATACCAGCCCGCTATGTAGAGACTAGAGATTATTGCACCCTCAGCCATTTTAACGTGAAAAGTTTGGATCCGTCACTTCCAGGCAGGCTCTCAGGTCATAAACTGGAGTAAAGCAAAATGTCAACTCTGAACAGACATGCCACGCAACCGGCCCTCTTTTCAATATTATTAGCTTTCTGCAATCATCGTCTGACTCCATCTCGATCAAACGCAGCATCCGGTTTCTACAGGGGCGTTTGACTGACCGGCCACACAATAACCAAAAACAAAATCAAAGCTTCATGCACACATATGACATAAGTAAGAAACGGATGAAAAAGGCACAACCAAGGCACAACTCTGCGCGGCAAACAACGGACAATGTCCCACGCAAGATCCCGCGTTTCTTCAGCGGCCTTGAACGGAATGAAAACATTACATTTCTTTTTTGGAGCTATTTGATGACGTCAAAAAAGACAATACCCGTTTTAATGGTCAAAATCGAGACAATTACTCACAAAAATGTTTCCCTTGAAGCATTACAAATAAATACTTTTAAATATTTAAATGACATTGTTTTTTCAAACAAATCAATATTATTTGCTTACTTAAACGTCATATACAATGCTGAGATCACTACGGGGCTGTCTTAGAGTGTAACTGCACTGGCAACCTTTAGGCTAGACTCCAGGGGTCATCATACCAGAACAACATGATTCTACCAGCCAGTAGTTCATTTTTCTACTAGATTGGTGCTACGCTCAGCATTTAGGTGCCAGATTCAGAAAAAAGAGTAAGGCGTACCAATAAATAGGTGCCAGAAACAGCTAATTAAGGTCATTTTCCATGATTGGTGCTGGTATCCACCAAATAGGTGCTAAGGACCAATTTTGGGGCGAGTCAGCTTTTAGGTGCCAGAAATAGCTTTTCTGGGACGCAATTAAATGGCGTCCGTACGAAATTAGAGGTCGCTAACGCCGTTAGGACGTGGCGACACGTGGCTACAGCGTTCCATAAACACTTCAACTTCATGAATACAGCACCAATCAACAAGCGTCGTTAAACAGACAAGAAAGAGTGCCTCTCATTCATCATCCATCATCGCCCTATTTAATTTAGTGGATAAAAACGGCGGGAGTTTTTACCTTGTATAATTCATCTTCCCGCTGCAGTTTTTCCTTGAGTTTGGAGCGCCGCAGCTCAAGGTTGGCCTCCGCCTGTCTCGCACGCTCCCGCTCGCAGTAATTCTGGTAACTGTCGACGCGAGAAAGGGGTGATTTGATGAACCATCAATCGAAAACACTTTCTACTTATTGCGAGAGAACATCATCAGAGCCGCTATATCGGAAAAAACTTGCGAGGAATTCTTGAGCTTTGGCGTTCCTCCTACGAACCTCGAACCGATGAGCCTGCTTGTCACAACAATGGGCCTCACTATGAGAGGCAATGCAAATAACAGCACGCTGAAATATAACCAAAGTGCAACATCGAATAAAATCCATACAAACTTTTGGATGGAGCAGTTGATCTAACACAAAGTATAATACTTTCATCACGCTTTCCATTTATGGAGACGTAAATATCACAAAATACACAATTTTACGATAAAACACATGGAAAAGTAAGAAGCGCCTACTCCAGTAGCGTTATAAACGTACCTTCGCACAAAGAAGTCATTTGATGCCCACTTGCTATGAGACTTCGTCTTGACATCCATTGCATCGTAATAGTTAACGACATTGTTCCACACCTTGTAGTAGTTTTCTTCTCTCATCCTCATTTTTGCTATTTTGTCCTGAAAACATGAGGCGTAACCATTAGTACTAATTGTCCTCACAAACAATACAAATCGAGACACAGAAAAGGACAACGCAATGACTGCTGTACGGTTGTACCTACCACTGTGTAGCTCCAAGACGTGGATGACGGTATGAAATCCGCAACGCCCGAACCATTAAAACAGCCATTCTTCCAGGAACTGACTTTGTCTAATCGATTTTTCGCTGGGGGGGGGCTTCTTTCGATGCAATATGCACTGTGATGCTATAGAATTTATTATTTTCTGATTGGCGATCGGTGAAGAGGTCATAAAGCTTTGTACGCGCTCATCATTTTATGGCAACCCTGCCATTTCAACTTGGTAGTCCATATTGTAGACTGAACTGTTGTTACCCAAGATTACCCGCGAATGTTATGTTATCCAATTTGTTGACTTAACCCTCGCTCCTACATGAGGGGGGGGGGGGGTCCAACGTTTTTCGGGAATCACTCACGTAAAAAGCGGCTGATCGCAACGAAACTTTCTGTACCCTCGCGTTAATCAATTTTACACCTAACCTGATAATTTCATGACCCTGACCCAAATGACCATTGACATGTGACCTATTTCTCGAGACCATGTTTGGCTGGAATCGCGATTCGGCGTACGTCGGCTCGCATTAGCCGCGCGTTTGCAGTCTTTTTGTGGTTTCAAACGTTCAAACATGTGGTATGAGGTTGGTCCCATGCATTATGGTGGGTGTTAAGGTCACCTGAAGGTCAGGTCAGGTCACTGACCTTTGATGATCTTGGTTTACTTTTTCGAGTTTTGCATGTTCCTAGGCTAAGTTTTGGAGCTGATTTCGAATTTAGCATCCATTTGAACATTTACGAAGCAGTTTGGTGCCTTCGTAACATGCTACGAAGCTGTCAGTGGCGGTTGACACCTACTTTGAATACCCGTCAGGAAGCCTACTGGTTGACCTGACCTGACCCGACCTGACCAAATGGCATGAAGACATCACCTCTGATCAGAACCAACATTTAATTCGTAATCCGCACCCTGAAAAGCCCCACAGCAACCACTCATTACGATGTTCTAACAGGTCCCGATTTTCCCGACTTTTGGGTCATTGACCTGACCTGGAAGGTCAACCAATGACCTAGGCCCTCAAAATTAGGTATCATCATTCATCAGCTTCCTCTCGTCACGGGAGACACGCCCGTTTTTCCGCGAAGCTCTAGCTCGATCAGGCGCCAAACGGCAAGGGGCGTTGTCCAACGCCCCCCCCCCCCCCCTCTCCATACGTTCGCGACTGGCAAAACACCAATACGGACGAAGGTTAATTACGGTTGGGTCATAGCCATCGCTGATTTTTATGCTATGTGTAGCTATATAGCTAATGAGCTAGAACTAATATGCTTTTTGTCAAATATTGCTTGACTCCAGAAAATTGAAATGGGAGAGCATCCATGAGTGATGACCCCTAGATCTCTAGTTACATCATAGTCATATCATGGTATAATCTCTGGTGTTATCCAAACAATGGCTGATTTTTTTCTTTTTAGACAAGCAAGCACAAAGCACAAAATGAGCCTGCTTATACCAAAGTCACTGGTTTTGGCAATGCATGATGAAGGACAGTACAAAAAGTGGGTCCTGGGAGTGAGCCCTGCACAGTGCACAACACATAGGCTTCTGAGGAGCTGAGAAACATGCCAGTCTCTATGGACAGTAACCACCATGCCACAATCCACAGTGGCCTTTGGAAAGCCATATCAGTCTCCGAGGGGACACAGAGAAACCTGTTTCTCAACATGCCCCTACCTGCTGTAACAAGGCATTGGTGCTTTTGTTTCCATACAAATGTAAGAAAACTGAATAACTTTGCTTGCATTTGCATATAATCTAAAACACCAACAACTGGTAGTGCGGGGTAGTGGCATACCATGAAGCAGGGCCCAGTCCACTCACTGAACCACAAAATTATATGAGCATTCATGCCAGTCTTTGAGGACATACCAAACCTGTGATGTCCTACAGGCCACATCAGCCTCTGATGAACCCACACTGGAAAATGAGGGCAGCTAGAACCAGCTTCTTAGAGCCCACCTGATCTCTAAGGGCCCACACCAGCCTTCCCTCCCTTGGATTGACATGAATAGGGGCATCTCGAAGCAGTGATGGTAAACAAGGATTTTTGACAGGCTCTTTCATGGAGGCTGTTTGGCTCCAGCATAACATTCAGAATGTTGTGCAAGAGTTATAATCACTGCAACGATCTAGCAAAACAACATGAATTTGTCCTTACCTCAAATGCTCCCCTCCCAACCGTCGCATAGCGACGGCCAGGAATAGGATGATCTCGTATCTGCAGTGGGTACGACATCCTCAATGATCTGGAGCACAGCTGCTCGTCCTGAAATCAGAAAAAAATTATCTTCAGGCATGTCAATTCAAATTCTCAATTTTAAATGCCCTATCATCCACAACAAATTGTCAGATTCTCAGCAAATATTTTGACTTTTTGTACAAAAATGACTAAATTTTTAATCAGAGCAACTGAAAAGCAAATAAAACTATTTCGCATACCCTGCATAGGGCTTTCAGCTTGAATGTATTGAAGAATAAGTCCAGGTACATTTGCCCATTTACCTGTACGTAGTTTCAAACCAAGTTTCAAACACTCGAATCAACTCACCTTGAGCAAATAGCGAAATGCGCAGGTACGCTCTCCTGTTGATTTCAATTTGAATTAAGGTTGAGGTAGCTGATGAATCAATATACAAAAAGACCGCAATTGAGTAAGGGTTGGAACCTTTTTCAATTCAAACCGACCACAAGTGCACAATAACCGTAAAATCCGTAAAATGTTCAGAGGCTCTTGCGTAAAAAACGTAAAATAAACAAATATCGCGCCGTCTCAGACGCGCCGCGTTTGTTATCAAACATTGGAATGGGTAGTGGTGGACAAAGCTGCTACGTGTACTTGCTTGGTAAGTACTTGGTACTTGTTTGGCAACCGAAGTGGGCGGAGCTAAGATAAAATGGGGCGCGGCATGCGCCGCATTCACGTCGTCGGTCGTGCACGGTGCGTCTCGCTGTGGATTCGGGTACGGTGGGTACCGATTTACAAATCGTTGTCCATCATTGGCATTGTTGTGTTTGTTGAGATGACGTCCAAAGTAGACCACAAACTGCCGGACGGCATATCTGTTCTCGATAATCAAGGCGGTGGTCACATGTTCAACGCCAAGAAGGGCATGGTTGGCATTATGATGCACAATGATGGGAGCCTTCTGAAGCCGGTATGTCCAGACGCGACTGAACCACTTGAAGACGACGAAATCCGTTTCTATGAGAGGATATCTAACGCCGATGATCCAATCGATAAAGAGCTGGCCACGCTGACCCCTAAGTACTTTGGCACTCAGAAGGTCAAGGTCGCTGACCGGGACGTGCTCTGCATGAAGATGGAAAACTTCACCTACGGCTTCCGGCACGCCTGTGTGCTGGACTTGAAGATGGGTCGCGTGACCTCCATACCAACGGCGCCGGAGGAGAAGCGGAAACACGAGGCGTCCAAATACCTCGGCACACGTGCCACCGTCGGCTTCAGCGTTCCCGGGATGACGGTCTATGACATCACCAACGCATCAGCCATCCAGCACGGCAAGCCGTTCGGCAAGGCGCTGGACGGCCAGTCGGTGCTGGACGCGTTCCGTACGTTCCTAAACGCGCCATGCGGCTCCGGCGTGCGGCCCATCTGTGACTCGCTGCTGGCCCAGCTGGGTCGGATCGATAGCTGGTTCAGCCGACAGCGCCGCTACAAATTTTTCGCCTCGTCCATCCTGCTGACATACGACGCGGCTGCGCTGCTGGCCGACGCCGGCCGCTCAGAGGAACAGGTGCTGGCCGCCGCGCGGCCCATCGCGCGCATGATCGACTTTGCGCACGCGTGGCCGGCGGACGGCGAGCCGGACGCCAACTACCAGGAGGGGCTGCGGAACGTGATTCGGCTGGTGACCGAGGTGCGGGACGCCCTGCCGACTGCCTAGTGTTATCGCTGGTAGCCCGGGACTCCGCCGACCGCCTAATGCTATCGCTGGTAGCCGGGGACACCCTGCCGACCGGCTAGTGTTATCGCTGGCGTTACGGGCCGCCCCGCCGACCGGCTAGTGTTATTCCTGGTGTGCTGGTCTGACTGGGTGAAACGGCCCGCGGCTGGCGGGGCGGTGTCGGATGCTGACTCAGACAGACAGACAGCCAGACGAACAGAGGAACAGACGGCCAGGGTCGCGACGAGATGGGTCTGTCGCCGGCTGGCGTGGCCTCTCCACGAGAGAAGCACGATGAATAAGGCTGTATCCGCTCGCTCAATGTCGTTAGGTAGTTGGTCAGATATGCCGTTAGAATCAATAGAACTAGTCCATCAGCTTGTGTTCGTTGTAGACCGCCGTTGTTGCGTCACCGTTTTCCTGACGATGCCTCGTTTCTTGCCATCATATCATAGCTCTAGTATCGTGTTTCGGCGGTGTGGCGTGCCAAAGCGTTCAGGAATAGCGCATGCCGTGCCGGTCGGCTGAACTGTTCGGATCCCGAGCGGATTTCCCACGGTTATCGGCAGTGAATTACAGCCGTTCCGGCCGCCTGCAGCCCGCTTCACTCGGTATCACCCCGAGTAAACAACGCCGCCCGCTGGACCCGAGTCATGAATCATGTCCACGCCATACGCCTCCGTTCTTATCAGTGTGTTTAGCCAACTCGGGGGCGGCTGTCGGCGCCGGACGTAGCGTCTGTGTGTTGAGCGGCCCGCTATCGCACGGCAATCGTACGCTCATTTCCGTTTGTCGCGTTCGATCGGTGGTCGGCTCCACGGGTGACGCACGTGCCGGTGACGCCGTTCCGCGATCCCGCTCCCTGAGTTCGGCAGCCGGTCTCGTGACCCGCCGTCAGCCGCGTACCGTGACTGACAGTGAGCTATTTTTCCCGTTCGGCACAGTCCAGATACCATCACCATGGCACGGGCATTCACGTGAAACAGTTTCACTGTAAACGTTACAGGTATCCAGTTGTGCAGTCTGTGCGATGCATGCGGGCATTTTGTCCTGATTCCCGACCGAGCATCGGGTTTGTATCATTGTACCCATTTACGGTTGTATAGCGAATAAACAAAGCCGCCGCCGCACGGTGTCGCCGAGCTACTCAGCGCTTTGCCGGGAACACAGGTGGTTGGCTGACGTAAAAACGGAGCCGATTACAAGGCTAATCCGCGGCCTGCACCACGACATACACCATTCGGCGGTTCATTTTTATTGTGAAACATTACCACAATGCGGGTAAGTCAACACAATGCAATAAGTATCTGACTAGATGTAGCACGCTGCCGCCTATGTACAAATCTGATGACGTTCCATTATCATGGCATACATTATTGCAAATGGGAGGGACCCGTCAAATGTCCCAGATGCACCCATTCTCTCACCCTGACGCATTCATTCCCCAGACACACGCGGAGGGAGCCCATACACACGTGCACACTCCGATAACACCCGCAATCCGAGCTACCTGCTGCACGGCTCCCGGGCGGGCGCACCGGCCGGTCCGTTATAGATGCTGCTGCCGCCGAGACGGCGGCGCCCGCCGGTCGGCTCGTAACGAGTTCGGGGGCCCCTGGCGCCGCCGACTCCCCATTAGGCTGCGTTCACTCCGGAATGTGTACACGATGGCCTTGAACGGCGACCAATAGAGGCGGGCCGGCGGTGCCGCCGATTGGTCACCGCCCCCGACCGCCGAGCACACACGCCGCTCGCAAAAGACCGCTGCCGATTAGTGAGAAGTGGTGACGGGAGGCTGAATCACCGCGCCGGCGGCGGCGCCTATCAGCGGCTGACTGCACGCCGCGGTAGTCGATATGACAGGAAACTGCCGATACCCGACCACAGCGTGCCGACAGCGCGCCGGGCGCCGCGCGCGGCACGGCAGGCAGGCGGGCGGCGGCCCCACCACGGGCGGGGTACCGGCGGCGGTCAGCACAGGAGCTAGATTCGGCGAGAGCTAGGCGCGGCGCCATCACTGGATCCGTATCACCGGGAAGTACTTGTGACTGGAGAAGTCGAAGATGGGCGAGCGGCCCTGCGAGTGTCCGCCGGCCAGGATCCTGGCCACCACGTAGTTGGTCTTGGCCATCCTGGTCAGCACGGCCACCTGGGGACGCCGGCAGACCGGGCCCGTCACTGGACAGATAATGGGGTGTACACACTGACTTACACCCAACCCAACACACCACAGACGTACTCCAAATCCGAGAATAAACACACACCAAGCCGGCACAACATCACAATAAACGACACCTGATGTTTGTAAAACTCTCATTCACGTCACAGCTCGTACACAAAACGCCACTCAGACTCCCCACCGGAAAAGAGGCCCCGACAAGTGTTGCGGCATTCTCAGTGCCCCTTTATCACCGCGTGGATCGTGGTGTGGCCACTGTGACGCCAGAGGCGGCTGACCACAACAGGCGCGCGGGCGCCTCTCTGAGAACCGGGGTGGACCCGGCGGCCCGCGCGGATCGCTCACCTCGGCATCATTGGCAGGGAGCGTCTCCAGCAGCCCTCGGGCCTGGTGGAAGCATTGGCACGCCTCGGAGTACGCCAGCACGGCGCGGTTCTGCCGGTGAGCCACGCGCGGCGGGTCAACACACAGTTCGCGTCATAAGGAGCCACACAGCAGAAAGTTAAAATGAATTCCGTTGTGCACCTACAAAACCCGCCTACACAATTCCTTTGACTGCATAATGTTGTGCGTTCACGTCACATAGCAGTCCATGCGAGTCGCGTTTCCAATACCGCAGATGACCATCGGGCCGCAAGCTAGAGCTAGTCAGCTGTGTGACCACACCGTTTCTGAGTAGAGCTCTGACCCGTCACCTGAGAACGGTCGGCCGGTCACTGGGCGCGCACGGCTCACAAGTCACGAGCGGCGTGCGCCTCATGTTTTGTGGTTGCACTAATGTGATGGCCAGGAGAGGATCTAAAGGTGAAACGAGCCGATTTATTCCCCTCGAACGCACACGAGTACTGGATTAATTTTGTGGTCGGGCTCGCCTCAAAATACTGATTCCTATAACCTGGCACATCCGTAATTCCATAGGCTCCCTTGTGTAACGAACCATGCCAAAAACGATTCTCATGAAATCGGCATACACTAAGATTTCCATCACTTGAAACACAAATCAGCACTGCCGCACCTTTCTCAATCTGAAAAAAAAAAATGGAGAGAGCCCATCCCCCGACGCTGCTGACAACCTAATACCGACTGACTGCCACGGGCTACTTCAGACCAGCGGCAGTCTGCGCAGCTAGCCCGCGTTGACCACCTACTAGGGCGGTCTTAGATTAGCAGCAGCTCACGCAGCCAGCCCGCAGCCCTCGCAGTAAGCCCGTGTGGACCAACCACCAGCTGAGGAGCAGCCACAAACTGGGCAGCCTATTTCCCTCACCTGTTGTGGCGGCCCGGCGCCGGTCATATGCCGATAGTGGCCATACTGGACGGGCCGCGGCGTCATACTGACCACTGGCCAGCCTGTGCGACCCACCACTGACCCGCCCCTGTTACCCACCTGTTGTGGCGGCCCGGCGCCGGTCATATGCCGGTAGTGTCCGTACTGGACGGGCGGCGGCGTCACCACGGCACTGAACGGCCAGAAGCGGTGCTCGTAGCGCACCTGTTCGTTATCAAACTCGGCGTGCGGCCGCTGGAGCCGGCCCTCGGCCTGCAGCCCAATACACGTCTGTCGAGAGGTCAGGGCAGGGCAGGGCAGGTCAGATACACATGGCGTCAGATACACAGCCAGCCCTCGGCCTGCAGCCCGATACACGTCTGGCGGGAGGACGGGGCAGGGCAGGTCAGGTCAGGGCGGGTCAGGGCAGGTCATATCAGGCCGGATACACACGGCGGAAGGTGCGACTGAGGCTACGGTACGGATAGGTGCGAGTCAGGAGATGAACTAGGTGTGACACCCGAGCCTGTGAGATGTGGTCAATTGAGCCACGCGCTAAATGCACGTCTTAACAGCACCGTTCCCTCACAGTTGATATGGCAGTGAAGAAGACACATTAGCTGCTTCGTCAGGTGAAATAGCACTGGCCCTTACCTGACACGTTCTTCTGAGGCGAATTCCAGTGGCATATTATGGCACAAAACAGCTGCTATCGGAATATTCCATTCCTGGTACAAACACCAACCACTAGACAAAAGATTCACCAACGTGACAAAACGAAGACAAACAGTGGCCATCAGACACATCAACACGTGCTCTTTCACCGATTCTTCAGCAGCTTTGGCGGCACAAGAGGTCCGACACCGATTTAACAGGCGATCACAGACAGATACACGTTAGGCCACGAGGAGCACGTCACACGATCACCGGCAGACACGGCAGGTCAAAGAGAGCGAACCGTCACGTCACATTACGTGAACAAAGTCAGCGAGCATATGACGAACCACTGTCTAGACGAGCCCGCCACACCGGATACCGGGGCATAGCGAACATCGGCAAAACAGAGTATGAACCCGGGGAACACCAAACCACAGAACATCCCAACACCCCATTCAGCGGGGTCTTCAATACCGATAATAACCACAACTGACACGTTTCTTTTGCAGATCGACATCCGGTCCTCAAAGAACCCCAAACAACGCCATTCCCTTTCTGCTGAGTCAGCGGAGGCCGTTCAATTTTTGACGACCCGATCCGCTCCTCAGCGCTGCCACTTTCTCACCTTATGCAGTCCCCCGCAGAGATTCTGTAACGCCTGAGTGAGCACGATGTCACGCTCGTAGCGGCTCTTGCGTTTCTTGGCGCGGCTCTTTTTACTGTTCCGGACGCGCTGGGCGGCCAGCTCCATGGCAGCGTCGTGTTCGGCCAGAAAGGAGTCGGCTCGGTTCAGCGTGGATACCATCCAGCCGTACAGACACTCGGAGAGGTACCTGTGTCAGTACCAGGGGACAAAGCGGTCAGGCGGTACACAGACAGTCATTCTAGAATAGGTACCAGTCAGGATAGTCACTAGTCAGGGAGGACCGCTGCAGCGGTGTAGACATTGCGAGAGGTACAGCTCTCACAGCATTTAGTGGTTGGTCAGCCGATGTGTTTAGGGGATAGTAAATTTGAATGACACAGACACTCCCGTAAAATGAGAAGAGGTTTCGTGCCGACACTTCAGCAATGTATATAACAGGCTATACTTATAGAGGCATTAATCAACACTCATCGATTATTGCGACGTTGGCAACCAACCACTTGATGGTGTGGGAGCTGTACGCGCGCCGGGGAGGAGAGGTCAGAGGGTACACTGACACGCTCAGCTCAGTCAAGATAGTCAGAGGGACCGCCCTATCCGTGGGCGACGTCCAGATGAGACGCCTGGCTTAGCAGTTGATGCGTTTAAGTCGCGCTCACGGTCACATAGCTGAGATGTTATCGTTGAGTGTCTCATAAAAGTCTCGCGCCTCTCCCCGCATACCAGAGATGTTTAGCTAGTTCACAAGAATGTCCAAAGGTCACGGCCGCGAAGTGATTCGTCACCACAGAACTGTTCAGTGACCCCGAAACACCCCGCGTGCTGAGCGCACTCCAAATGGGACATGAGTGCAGCGTGTAATGACATTCAGTGAACGCGTGTTTATCGGGACGGTAGTGGGCGTGCAGTGTCAGACATCCATGTCGACACATGTCTCCGCACCGATCGGAAACATTGCATCAGTCACACCGCACACGAAACGGTGACTGGCGGGTTTTCAGAGCTAAGACATTTTGACGTCAAGCGTTACTCAGCTCATCAGAACTGGGTAGAAAAAGCCAGCCAAGGCTAGGTCTTTCCATGGAACGTGCAGCTTTCAATCATTCTATGACTAATGAGCGATGGCATCTTCCAGCTCTGGATAATACCCTAGCCGATCAGTGCAGTGGTTAAATGCACTGAATACCCTGACGCTCACCCTGCTCTCGGTCCCGGCCCGAGAGTGTGGCAAGGTGTAGTAAAGAATTCACCGCACCGTCATTGTCGGCCGGCCGGGCCCTAGCTTTGAGATCAAAACTACACGCTTAGTTCAATTGAGATTTACGTCCTACGCTGGACTTTATCGGGAAGGTTCACGGCTTCCACGGTTATCGAGGCCACTCGAGAATTTCTATCATATTTCAGTCCGCAAAAGTCTTGATATTCAAGTCAGCGTACTTTGTTAAATTATTGGAATTATTAGGTCATAGTAGGTCAATATTAATGGATACGGAGAATACTGACCAGTTACAGATGTACTAGAGTGCACGACTGCCATGACTGACCACTGACCAGTAGCTGATGTAGCTGTGGTACTCGTGCGAACTGTACAGCTCCAGCTATAGTTAATGACCAGTAGATATACTGGTAACTATACACTAAAGTCACCTACCAGCAGGGTAACTTTTAAAGGGGGGAAAGGGGAATTCCCCCCTTCGAAAATTCCGCTCCCCCTTTCAAATTGTGCGTGAACGGCTAGGGAGGGAAGGGGGAATTTCCCCCTTTCAAATTTATTTTTTAGCCCATTTTCAATCAATTCGCTACTCAGATTCTATAATCATCGTTGATCAGACTCTAGTCATCAATCAACGTTGCTGGCGCTTAGATAATTTTCAATTTGAGGTTCCATCCAACCATTTTACGTTCAGTGCAGCGGGAACTACAGATTTGACCCGATACCGATCGGATGGTCGGTGGGACCGTCTCTTGTCTTGTCTCTTCCGTCTCTTCGCAATCACTGACATATCGCTACAGGCGTCGGCGTAGAAACCGGCGGGGGACGGGGGTCATGACCTCTCCGAACCAAGGGTCTTCCTTCGAACCAGGGTCCTTCAATCGGTCTTGGCCTAGCAAAAATAGTCACGTGTTAACCTCTCTCTATTTAGAAAGGCGCTACTTGATGTTTGGCCAGGGTAATTGGTTGATACTACTGATTGACATTTGTAAGGGCGCAGTCAAGTTGGGACCTCCCCCGCCCCTTACCGCCAAGGTAGGTACCTACGTATATTTTTTAGCTAATTTATTTTTTGGTAACCTAACAATATAAATTGGCCAGAATCCGGGGAGAGAGTAGGATTTGGGGGTAGGTACGGTTCTGCAGGCGCCATCCTAACAAAAACCTAATGGCATTGGGCCCCCCTTTCAGATGCATCTGGATCCGCCCTTGCCCCGAACTTTATTCCCCCTCTCGACTTTTCCTGTAAAAGTAACCCTGCCTACCAGTAGATGTAGATGTAGCGGTAAGCACCATTCACCTACCAGTAGATGTAGTGGTATACACTAAAGTCATCTACCAGTAGATGTAGTGGTAAGCACCATTCACCTACCAATAGATGTAGTGGTACTCGTGGGCGCTGTACAGCTCCAGCTCGAAGCCCGAGAGCAGGTATTGGATCATGACGCGCAGCACGTGGTACAGGATCCAGGTGGTGAAGCACACCAGGTGGTGACGCGCCGGCTCCAGCTGAAGGCACAGCGCGTGCAGCAGCGTGTCCACACGCTCCGCCTGGCGGAACACAACGGGAGAAGGGGGCGTCAGTCAGGGGGACGAATAGACACCGCCGCTTGGGGAGAGTAGGAGCACCGTGGATAACGGGAAAAGGCCGTGGAAAAGGCCGCCAATCAGACCCACAGCTTATGGGGAAACAGTAGACACAGCAGAACATCTAGCTGAATCTTTAATTGGCTATTTGAAAATCATGAAAATACATTGCAATATTATGTGCCACATGTAGCACGAAAGATTGGCTGATTACGTGCTGGACTGGACACGAACATAGCTAAAACGAGGAGCAGCGAACGGTTCAGCAATCGGACAAAAATACATATGTATGTATTTACCTTATGTATTTACCAAAACATAAGGTAATAAAGGAAGCGAGAGAAGGGACGGGAGATGGAAAAGAAACGGTCGGGGTGAATAACTAACCTGCATTTCATTCCCCTTTCCCTAATACATCAGTGATTTCATCCATGATTAATACATGATCCCCTTTCCCTCATACATTTTGAAATACCGACGGTGCGGACTGATTCAGAACGGAATCAGTATGATGACATCACCCATGGACGGAGTTCGATAAAATGAGTGTTATTTACAGTCACGGAGCCAATACCTAGCAGGAAAGGAGCGTCAAACCAGTAAGGGCAGATTGATTACGTTAACGGTGGAGCTCATCGGCACCCCAGCTAGCATGGCAGTTACGAGCTGCTCGCGTGCATCCAAGCCGCTGACTGCCGCCAGTAGCGGCTACCTGCTGACAAATTGCTGATGCCGCAGACCTATTTGGTGACGATCACATATCTGGGCGCCGGTGCATATAGAACGAATCGCAAACGAGACTGATCTCCGGATAACACGGTGGAATGCGACTTTTTAAAGGCATAAATCCAGCTGGCATTTTCAGATCTGTCGATACGGACCGGCAGAATGCAGCCGGCCGTTTTTAGACACGGTTATGAATCTGCTCGGAGCTCTAAGTCGCTCGGCACAGGGGTTCGTCGAAGTCGTGCGAAGCGACTTAGCCAGCGCCTGGCACGCCGTTTCTACGAACGCATTCAAATGATCCCTCGCATTCCTGGACACTGCTAACTGGTAAGTCGCAGGGATTCTTTAAAATGGCACTGGAAGCGAGAATAATGATGCAAGCATCAGCTATGGCCGAGCAGTTTTGTGTAGGCCCCGACAGCGACAAGCCGTGGGCGGGCAAAACGGTAAAAGAAGCCTGTGAAACATCATCCCAGGGAATGTCCTGGCCAGGATTGGGAGGGATCAGGGGCCAGAATTACCAACAGAAAAAATATCCGTCTGCTAGTACTATTTCCTTAAAAATCCCACAAGTTTAAACAACCACGCAAAAAATACAGCTTATGTGAAAACATGTTAGTTAGGCTGGCTGATAGGCTGATATTATTTTCCATATCAGTGGTTATTTTTCCACGTGGCAGACGAAATTCGAGAGCGACTTTAGGCAAAAATAAATCCATAACCGGCAATTCTTTCTTTTGGTAAAAATGGTCTCAGGCCTCCGATCTTCTGTCGCTGTGAGTGCAGTCGGCAAAAACGGCCAGAAATTCTTAGACTGATCCAGTGTATTACTTAGCCTTAGAGCACACCGAACGTGTTGAAGCCTCCGTTATTCTATCCGCTGACAAGACTTCTGTCGAAGGACCCCGCATTATCTTTCACCTAAGAGAGGGACTACAGTAAGACCTCACCTTCAGGGAACTTGCTAAGCCTAAGCCGACAAGTCCGGGTCACCGGCACCGGCACCGTCCTACCCTCATCATGACACCCTCTTCAATCTAATTGGCTCCGTAATCACGGTTCGTCGGAAAGTCATTTCATCCACAAAATAAACGAAATATACCATTCGAAAGCTGACGGTGGACTGATTACAAAAATATAATTTTTATCGAAATCGTACGATGGCCTTTTTAAAAAATTGTGTTTTTGTAAAAACGTAATAATTTGAGCTACCCAGGACATTCTTGAATGTTTTTTCGTTTTCCAGTGAAAGCTGAATGCATAAAGAACAATATGTAGCGAAAAAATATTATCAACTATTTACATGCGTCTCTCACAACCAGCAACAAGGCGCAATCACACAACTCAGTATCACGAGGGATCAAAGTAACTGTAAGCAACACAAAAGCGTGAAATGACCCTTATCGACTCGCAGACCCGGCGCTCTCGGCTGTCTGACGGGCCACGGAAGGGACGTTCGGCTGTCGCCCTACTAAACGGACGTCATATTTGTTAGTTTAACGATTCTACTTCAGTTATTCAGGATATCTAAGAGGAAGATTCGTTGCTGTCATTTTCACATCATGTGTGAAGTTGCATTTGTTGATGTTTACTTTGCTCAATTCAGCTAGGCATTATGCCCATATAAGGAAAATTGACCGCGCTGAGCTGTCAGAGGTTGCACCGGCCTCAGCTGGGCTGGAGTGGGGGTAGCGCCCGGCGGGGCGGGGCAAGCTTTTGCCCGGTCGCAGGCCGAACAGCTGTCACCAGTAGTCTGAAAGTGAAACCCCGCTAACTTCCGCTGCGTGGGTATTGAGCGCAGCTGGATGGAACAAAACCTGTATAAGAAAAATGTAAATTAAAACATGTAAATCTAGCAGAACAATGAACTTTCTTCGCAGGTATCCTGAATACCACTCTAGCTCATCCACGAGTCCCCCCAGCGATACCACATCGGCGCGAGCGTTGCCTACGGCACAATCGTGCCACACTTTGCCCATACTCGGCTATTCCAAAGAGGCACGAACTGTGTTGTAAAGCGCGAAAGGAGCTCTCCCATTCCCAGCCGTCTTGCCGAACTTCTTCTATAACCCAAACAGAATACCTCAGCGTCACAGCACCCGGCCCTCATACGTGCCACACCTCCTCCTACTGCCAGCCCGGCCTGTGGTGCGCAGCGGCGCGACCCGAACTCCCCCCTCTCCCCTCCCCGCGCCGTACCTCCTCCTGCAGCCCGGCCAGGTCAGCCAGCACCATCTCGAGTTTCTGTCGCTGCCGGGCCCGGTTGTGGCCGGCCACCTGAAGCAGCTGGTAGAAGGCCGCCTGGCACCGGCACATGAACATGTCCACAGCGTCCTTGGCCTGAGGGCGGGATACATTAGGTCACATCAGTGTACCCAGGGTCACACCGGCACACACGGTCATACTGACGACGCACGAACGCATCCCTCGTGTTCATGGGCCGAAGCCAGCATGCATGGTCATTGGCCATTGGTCAGTGGTCACTCTGTCACACTCACGGTCACAGCGACCCCCACACGGTCACAGAATACACCAGCAGTTACTGCAGCGATACACACATTACGGTCATACCGGGAGCACCCATCAGTCACAGCGACACACCCACAGCCACAAAAGCACGCCCATCATCACGTCGATGATAAGCCCACGGTTACACCGATAAATCCAGAGCCACATTAGTGTACAAACGGCATGCAAAGCGCCGACAGACTAGGCCACTGGGGCGTTTTTACACGAGTCCCACAATAGGGGATAAAAAGAAGTGTGGACGAATTTTGACAGCACTAAAAGGAGGTGTAAAATGCATGTGATATGCGTTTTTGTGCTTAGGTACGGAACCTAAATGGATCGTAAAAGGAGCATGTGCGTCATCAGTCATCAAAATTTGCATATCTGACATCAAAAAGCGGAAAATATGAATCCATTAGCAGATTCTTGAGAATGAATAACAATAAAAACGCATTCATCCCTAACAAAACAATGAATTTTTGGCAGGACAACGAAATGGAATGTCTTGAGGAGACGGCATGGACAACGAAACAACATAATAAAGGCATGCCAGGACAGGGCCGTGAAATGTTTCGTGGGAGCACACAATCAACAATAGTCCGAAACTGCGAGCGCTCGAGGACAACTGACATGGCAGAGTCACGATATTGTGGACAGAATGTGACGGAGTATCCTCTCCGAGAAACCGAGACGGCAGCCGCCGGCCCACCTGGCAACCGAGCCGCACAACATAGGTAACATTCACAGAATCGCATATCTCCGGCAGCAGAAAAGGAACAAAAAATGGGCATCCGCTCGGCAGCTGGGGAACCCGGACAGACTGAGATTACACTGATCAGAGCGGCCGCCTGGCAACGCGCTCCGCGAGTCCTGAATTCTAGGAATGCCACTAACCTTTGACGTAAGTAAGCATACATAAAACTAGCATCCAAGCTGGAATCAACGATAAAATGTTGCACTTGCAATACGAATTTTTTAACGTCCTTATCGGTATATTCAGTAGTAAATGATAGGCTGCAGAATCTTGAAGGAGTTTCTAGCATTTAAGAGCGCTTTCTTATCTCTTTTTTACTAATCTTATCCTACATCACAGCTTATGCTTACTAACACTAAACAGCGTACTGGATACTTAGTGACTTGTCGCATGATTTGTTGTTCAACATGGGTGCATTTATCATGTCACTCATTTCAAATAGCGACTGCAGACTGCACGATCTCCATTCTCTAGTCTTTTACCGCAATTTTATTCATGCTAACATGCCCCCACACCACAGTTCTCCCCTACCACCCCTCCACCCCTTCCCTCCCACATCCCCGTACCTTTTCATTGCCGAGTACCGGTGATCTGGGCGCCAGTGAGGGCGGCGCGATGAAGGCCCGTGCCGCCTGCAGCAGCGTCTGAGCTCCAGCCGGGCTCGGTCGGCTGCTCAGACCGTGCAGAGGCTCGGCAATCACAAACAGCACCGTGCGAGAGAACACGCACGGCTTGGTGGCGCTGAACGCCTGCATGTAGTCCTGCAGGCGGTGAGGGTCGGAGAAAACGGTCACTAAGAGGGGTGAGAGAGGGCGCGAGGTCATATCGGGGAAAAGGCTGTCCAACATCGGTCCTAGCGGAAGACGAGAGGCGGGGTGACTGGTCACATAAGGGGACGATAGGCTGAGTGATTGTTGACACTGGGGGGGGGGGGGGGGGGCTGGGACCTACGCAAAACGACTAGGATGGTGCAGGTGCACGGTGCTCCAGCAAAGCGAAACAGTGGAACGGTAAATCGGTGAAGGTTCTAAGGTCCACTGCCGCAGCTTTAGCCCAAAAATTATGTATGATTTTGCGGTCAAACATTGCCAGTCGCGATCCAAACGCACCGATAATGCACGTCCTCCACAGCTGCTAACCAGTCTTCAAAAAAAAAAAAAAATTGTGCTATGTGATGAAACATCAGCAGGTCGCAGCACAGCATTTACGATTTTCATCTCAGTTTCCTGAGTGTGCTCCACCATTCAACAGTCAACTAACCACTTCCGAAGTCCCAACTCAACTCAGCACAGCCTCTCCTCTCACCCCACCTTTCCAACACACCTCCCGGTACAACAGACAGTCCCAAGCACAGACCGGGTCACGATGATACAACAAATAGGGCGGGTCGAATAATCGAGTTTTCTATTTTTGCTTCGGCACACTGTTTTTCTTATGTAAAATTGAATTCTAAAGCGACTTTGTATAAGATATTTTTTCGATTAAATCGCATCTTCAATACTTCAATCGCACTTTTGTATTTGCTGGGCTTGTTATATAGCGGCTAATGGCGAAATCAGCAGGCAAGTTTAATGCAAAAATTATGGTGTCAGAGCAATGCGATGGTGTCTTTTGTAACTGTTAGGGGCATGTTTTCATGGGTTTCTATGGTCTTAGAATCATAATTTTGTCATTTTTTTACGCATACATTGGACCATTTTGTCCTAATGTTCAATTTTAATCCTCCATGACTTGTGGCGTATATGCATAATTGGCCCGAAAGATCCTGGCGGCTCTCAAAGACATATCAGCGTACTTTTGGACGAAATGCTGACCAGCCAAGAGAAATGACAATGAAAACACCACAGAAGAGTGTATTTCAAGGTACTTTGTACACCTCTCCATAAATCGCAGACATCAGAACACGTTAAGTGCATCACAGTCCTTTCTAACGGTGGACTAGACATCGACTCTGGACTAGACATAACATCGGCTCTGGACTGGAGTCCACATGGCTGGACTGGACTGGACTAGACATAAACGGTGGACTAGACATCGGCTAGACTGGAATAAACATCGGTTCCACGATCACATACGGACTAGAATGCTGCAAGCGAAGGTGGACATCACCTCATACGACCACATGCAGACTAGAAGGTCGCAAGTATGTCCTTCTTGCTATCGAAGGCGGACATCGCCTCCCTGTGACGGACCCTGGCACGGATGTAGCCGTCTCTGGCCTCTTGCCCGCAGACCTCGGCGGCCGCCTGTTTGACTCGGCGCTTTCCTCTTCGCTGCTGATCTCTGTCGCCTTGATTTTGGCCTGTCGTCGCCACCAATCGCCACGTCTGACTTTTCTTGTCTCTTGTGCCTTTGGCTATAGAGCCATCTGAGCTCCATCTTTGGGATTTTGCTTTCCAGGGGGCAACAGCACCTGACATGAGCCTTGAACTTGCACTTATCCTGGTCAACACAGCCTGACTCCGGGTCTTGGCATAGCATGACGCGGTGGTGACAGGTGGTGATGTCCAGTAGCTCGTCCAACAGCTTCTCCACCGCCTCCTTCTCCTTCTTATTTTTCACCCTCCCCCACGCCACATCTTCAACTCTTTTCCAGAGCCTTTCAATCCTCACGGCCAAGCTTTTCTCCTTAATGATCACAGGAGGGCAGAATTTTGCATTCGCCTTGTGCCACTGCCCCAGAATTAAAGGGACCACCGTCTTCAAAATGTCACCTCTCTCAATCTTCTGCTTTGCTGTCTCTTCCTCTATCATTAGCTTCTGCTTGACGAGGATGCCTTTCTGTATAACTGCTCTCAAAGTCGGCAGTTCGCTTGGATCAAACTCTTTCCCTCCACCGACAAAATCACTTAGTTTACTGGCAACATGACGCCTAGTCTTTGGCCGAGACGATGAAGCCGCTGGGTTCGCCATCTGCAAATCACAGGAAACTGGTAAGGATTGATAGGACAGAAAACCGGCAGGGACACAAGAATTAACAGCTTTCTCCGCTTTAGTATGTTTGATTATATAGGTTGGTACTAACGGGACCAAGGGATATAAAGGATAAGCCCATGCAAACATTAAAAATCCCTTGTTCCCTACCCTAAAAAAAAAATCCCTACCCTTGCTATCTTCCCTCCACCACTTATCACATCACTGACCCCGGCGCAGCCACTCCGTCAGTATGCCCGGCGCGGAGCGCCAGATTCGTCAAATAAAACATTGAGAACAGCGCAACAAAATTATATCGCACACAATCAATCACGGGTGCGGGAACATGCCTCGTTACCCCCCCCCCCCCATCCTGTTTCCCAGAGTCGATAACCATGGAATATCTATCTCGTTTTCTATGTGAGAAAAGTTGAAAGAGCATGGCGTGTTGAGAAACAGCTGGGGAGAGGAGGGAGCGTGTCTCAACACTGTCATTTGTGGGTGACTTCCTGTGTTAGTTGCCTCAACAGTAGCGCCGCCGCATATAACTCGGTAGAGAGAAATCGCTTAGAAAAAGTGCGATTGAAGTATTGAAGGAGTGCTCAAATCGAAAAAGTGCACATAATAAAATGTCTTTAAAATTGTTTTTTACATAGGAAAAACAGTGTGCCGATATAAAAAAACGAAATTTACATTTTGGACATGCATTCGACCCGCCCTAACAACAAAGCCAACCCCACCGCCTCCCCCTGCCACCCACCATGAGCGCGTGCAGATGTTTGCACTCGAGTACGGTGCGCAGCCGGAGGAGCCGGTCCAGCAGGGCGGTCAGCTCGTCCATGGTGGCCGGTAACGCGCGCAGCCGCGGATAGCGAGGGAAGGCCGGCGGTAGCTGTCGCTGGTTCAGCAGCGGGTCGAACCCCATCGTCACCAGGTGGCCGCCTGTCGACAGAGGGCGACACCGGAGCGGTGACGTAGGGGGCCGTCGATGGAGATACGGGTGCGAATTGGTGGCGACTGGAAACGAGCTGTGCCCAGCCAGCTGTATAAGAAAAATGCCAATGTTTTGTAGAATGCTAGCTGCGCACTGAAATATAACCAATTTGGTATAAAAACATTAACAAAAACATTCAGTCTTTCGACAGACGGAAACAAAAAATTATTCAGTCGTCACTTAGACTAGCCCTATTATGGCAGACAGCGGCAGCAATATTCGATCAACAATCTATCCGTGTTTAGTTATAGCGCCAAACGGGCCAGTGCACGCACCTTTGGCGGCCTGTTCCACCTGTTCGTAGCTGGCACCCATGGGGCACGTATTCTTCAGCACCGGCAGCAGCTCCTTGGCCGAGGAGAGCGCCTTCCACGCCTCCTCCAGACCCTGGTTCTCCTTCTTTGAGAAGGCTAGCACAGCTTGAAACAGGCAGCGAAAGAACTTTAACCGCGCTTGTACCGCAACGAGCTCTTCGGTTTCCTATGGGGAGAAGGCGGAGTACGTAAGTTCGTCCCCGGTGTCAAAAGTATCCCTTTTCCTGCAGCACAGCCTCGACAAGGGCCAATGAAGGCAGCCGATTCAGACGACGTCTATCTTTGCATCACACAGCTGCTACGAAAATACCATCAGTCCCCACAGCATAACCACTGACTGCTCGCCATACAATCCTCCTACACAGTGTGTCATCTCAATCGAAAACTCTCCCTAATCCCTTGCCTCCAATACACTCCTCACTGCCCTGGAGTTTATTGGTCATCTCCCTAACGTCTCTTTCCCATCTCCCTTCTAGCAGCCGTGTCTTCTCACCTCCCTAGCGTCTCCTACTCACCTCCCTGGCAGCCGTGTCTCCCGCCTTGCGCCTGGCTCGCAGCTCGCGCGTCACATCCTCCTCCGCCTCCCGAAGCATACCGACGGCACGGAGAGGCGTCACGCCCGTCCGGTCGGGCAGCGACTGCGGCTGAAAGTCCTCCTCCTCGTACAGTAGCGCTCTGTCGGATCCCACAGGGAGGCCGGGTGACGGTCAGCGGAGTTTGGTTTACATCGTACAGTAGCGCCAGCCGACGTAGGTCAGCACTCGGCGGTGTCAGATGGACCCACGACTCACGAGGCAGCAGGCTCGACATAATTGGGAAGCTTACAGAGGTCGTTAGTATAGTGGTTTGCAGTACCTCATAATGCGGTTGATCCCCGAGCTATGGCAAGTGAACGAAATAAACTAGGTACAAGTTTACTACTACTGGCACCGCACTACCCTACTGGCACTTATATCCAGTCGCAAGATGACGGTGAAAAGGAACATTAATTGGCACAAACATGATACCATTTAGATATTGCTCGATGCTAGGTAAAATAAAAGAAGCAGAACATTCATATGCATATTTTCATATGTTGTTAACACTGCTAGTGCTAGCCATCATTACCTTATGTCCCATATTTGATACAAAATAACGGACCTCCACCCCAGCCCACCAGCCTCGCACCAGTCCTTGCCAGCGTCGCCAATCCTCGACCACGTCACATCACTTACACCTGGACGAGCAGCTCCGAGATGGTGTTGACTAGCTGGATGGTGGCGACGCTGAACGCCTTCACACACCGGTCCTGGATGCTGTGGGGCGCCTGCAGGTAGGCGTTGGTGGACACTGTCTGCGTGAGGCTGTGTCCCTCCAGCCAGGAGAGCAGGTAGGCCAGGGACGTGTCCATCACGCCGAGCTGCTCGCGCGGCGTCAGGTCGGCCGTCTTCAGCAGGCCGTCCTGTGGGACGAGTGGAGGGGCGTCAGTCGGTGTGGGGTCGACAACGGGAGCAGGCGGGTCAGGAGGCACAGCAGAGCAGGGGCGGGAAGGGGATGGCATGGCAGGAGTGGACTAGGGGAGAGCATGGAAGCAACAGTGGAGCCCTCCATCCGCACTGACTTTCGGGGGGGGGGCGACTGTGGGGTGTGACAGGTCGAACTAAGAGGTGAAATTATGGTGAATGGGAGCGGTCAGCCAGCCAATGGGACCAGTCAATCGTTAAGTAGCAGCGGATGAGCCGGCCGGTTAGGTACCGCTTTCCAAAAAAGGACTGATCTGTAATAGAAATGGGACCAGTCGGTTGCAGAAATGAGACCTCGGTCGGTAGCAGCGGAAAATCAGACCAGCTGTAACAGCCGACCGGACCAGCCGGTGACTGCGGATCAGACCAGTCCCGCCCTTCATCTGCGTATCGGCGGCTCACCTCGACCGCCTGCTGGAAGCTGCGGATCTGTCGCTGCGACGAGTTGCACAGCATGCCCACGTCCATCTTGGGGTCCATCATCTCAATGGCCGACATGGCGTCGAACAGGCCGAACATGTCATCGTGTACCAGCTCTCCGAGCTTCAGATCTGAAACAGCGGGCTGCGCGGTCAGCGCGGCTGGACGACTGCGGAGCTGCTAACAATGGGTCAGTGCGCGATGCTAGACGTGACTTACCCTAATCGGTGATTTATAGGACAGGACTACACAGTAAACAACGAGCTAGACAGCAAATGTCAAGCATTCGCCGGAATACAAAGCTCACAGCCGCATCAAAGACAAATAAAAGTGTATACCATTCAACTCAAACGTACCTTTACATGCGTTAAGGAAGTCATCAGTGATGTCTGTCCAGTGGTATTCAACTTCAGTGGGCTCAGGTGGAGCTGATGGTGCCAAATCCATGTCTACAATTCTCTGAAAAGAAAAAATCACACATAAGATAGCAGCATATCCATCAAGGGTAAGGGGAAAAAAATGACGGGAAATCAGGGGATTTACGTATCGACTCATGACCTTTCGAAAAGCCCTAGGACATAACTAAACCGTCCTCTGATAGTTAATCAAAATTGTTTTGTCGACTTTCGTCATCTAGACGTAATACATCATAGGCAGTAAATAGTTGAATGACTCGGTAGGTTAAGTTAGGTGAGGTTGGACTACATGTTTAGTAGGTTAGGCTAGGTCAGGTCAGGTTAGGAACCTAACCTAAGCTTACATAACCTAACCTAACCTGACCTAACCTAACCTGCCTACTAACCTAAAGTAATGTAGTCTAACCTCACATAATTCAACCTACCAAGCTATTCAACTATATAGTACCTAATACCTATGGTACATTATATTTTTATTTGTCCAATGTCCCAGTGTTTGTCATTTGTGATGGGAAACGACATTCAGATGAAAATACTCTTTTGTTTTCACTCAAACCTCCAACTTTTAAAGACAATTTTCCACTCCCAATTTTACCCCCCCCCCCCAACAATTGACCCCCCAGGTCAGGTCAATGACCCAAATGTCAGGAAAATCGGGACCTGTCAAAGCTTCATTAAGTGAGGTTGTTCGGGTGTCTTCGGGTGCTCATCACGAATTTCATGTCAGTTTTGATCACATACGATGTCTTCATGAATTTGGGCCAAGTCGGGACAAGTCAGGTCAGGTCAATCAGTACGCGTCCTGCCGGATATTCATAGTAAACCACCACTGACAGCTTCGTAGCATGTTACGAATTACGATTGCACCAAAACAACTTCGTGAATGTTCAAATGGTTGCTAATTTCGAAATCAGTTCCAAAAGTAGCATACTACCTAACATATGTCATATTCAACTTGGAAAAGTGAACCAAGGTCATCAAAGGTCATGACCTGACCTGACATTCACGTGGCCTTGGTGCCCACCATAATGCATGGGACCAACACCATTCCACATGTTGGAACGTTTAAAACCAGTAAAGGCTGAAACAGACTCTTTCCGCGTTCAGGAAATCGCATGCGAGAGCCTATTCAAATACGTTATAATTCTTCTCGCATCAATCGCATCCGGGAGGTGCGTGCGATTGATGCGGGAAGAATTATAACGTATTTGAATAGGCTTTCGCATGCGATTTCCTGAACGCGGAAAGAGTCTGTTTCAGGCTTACTACGCTTTTCGGGCGAAGAACGAGCGAGCGAGACTGAGAGTGTCCCTGCACGTGTGCACCTGCAGTAGCACTCTAACCACAATGCATGGGAACGCATTGCCTGGTGCTAAGTTTCGCCGAAATCGCCCCAGTTATATCACAGAGTTATTGTAATGGAAACAAATTTGAAACCTTTTTGCATTATGCATGTGCAGTGGGGGTGACCCACATGCATCGAAAGTATCCGATGTTTGGAAGAAGGGATGCAACTACCCTAGAAAAATTGCCCAAGTCAAGGTTGACCTGAACATTATTTGCTCACTGTTTTTTCTCCTTTACTTTTTAACCCCCAACCCGCTGGGGGCCCTGGATTTCCACGCCCTGCTGGAGGGGGGGGGGGGTGTTTGAACACCCCTTTTAAATCGGCTCCTGGGCCACGTAGCGATACGCGGAAGGCGGTGTTCGAAAGAGCGCCAAAAATAATGCCGAAAACATTTCGGTCACTTTTTTTGGGTCAGGTCAAAGGTCAGGTATCCAGAGGTCATTGAACGCAAAATGTCGCCGATTTTCAGGTCGAGTGTGGACTGTTTTCAAGAAGCCAACGCATAACTTGGAAACCAAGAGAGCTACGGCGCCGTGGAAAAGCGCATTCAATAGCCCTATTAACGTTCTTTCTGAGCATTGCCCTTAGATTTGAACTAGCGTCAACGGTTTGCCTGTAGGGGGCAAAAACTGGCAAAATGGCCGATTTTTTTCGGAAACAGTTTTTCTGCAACAACTTTTGACCCAAGCCTTGCACGAGTTTGCCTTTACCGGCATCGTGTTCCTATCGTCAAGACGCATCGAATGAACTATAGTTTGACATTGAAAGGTCAACTTGAAAATTTGACCTCAGGTCAAGGTCATGACCTGACCCGAAAGGGTCATGTCGAATATCAGTCGATCCGTATCGTCGAGCTTAACACATCCAAGGGCCTTTCATCGCTCTAGTGTGCCTCTATCAAAAGTTCTTTGTGAAAAACTGTTTGAGCTTGGGGCCAGTGTGGGCGGGACTGACCTGGGACGTAGCCCTCACCGCGCATGTGTGCTGCTGTATGCTGCAACATATTTTATTTTGGCTGCACAGTCAAACAGTCCTTAGGTAAGGTTGAGTCAGGTTAGATTGTTTTTCATGTGCTTGGACTTTGTTTTCACATTCACCGAAGTCTTACAAAAAAAAAAAAAAAAAAACAGAAGGGCTGTTCACCGGCCCTGTGTGCGGTCGGACCGCACACAGCCTCCAAGCTCCGCCCACTGCGTCCCTACGTCGGCCTTCCGTCGCCCCACACAGCGACCGCTGTGGCCGGTCGGGACTGGCCACAGTGGACCATCCACCGCAAGCAGCCGTGACGCCAGAACCGCCTACCTATCCCCTACCCCCACGCCTGCTGGACGCACCGCACACACCGCACACAGCAGTGTGCGGTGCCCGTGAACACCGCTGAGACCAAGATTTGCACTAATCAAATTTGTCTAGTTATGGAGCAAGCAAAGCAAGCAAAATCTTTGATAGCTTAACAGAAATTTCTGAGTATGAGCAGGCGGCCGGGGGCCGGCCGACCGTGCGGATACTTTTGCGAGGCTTATATATCTCAGCGACCATTTGACCGATTTACATGAGGCAATTTTGAAGGGTAGCTGCATTCCTTCTACCAAGTATTGGACTATTCCCAATGCATGTGGGTGGCCCTTGTGCACGTGCCATGTGCAAAACCAAAAGGTGTCAGTTGTGTAACAATTGCAATATCTCTGTAAATACTGGGCTGATTGCGCTGAAAGTTAGCATGTACTTTGGCAGCCACTAGGCAATGCATATCCATGTACCACAGTTTGGGGACGACGGTGAAAACAGGGCGCCTGGGGCGATTTGATCAAGGTTCGTGAAATTTACACGTGACGTTTGGCATGTAGAAGGCAAGTAGAAGGCCCACTAAGGGGGAGAAGTTCCAAATGTCACGTGACTAATATGCCCTCCGGCGCCCTGTTTTCACCAGCGTCCCAGTTTGGGTACTGCTGCAGGAGCAGAGGTCCATTCCAGATCTCGAGAACGGCTGAATTGAGTGCAATGAAATTTGGTATATGGTTAGGGACCAGTGGTCGGAAACACGGAGGTCCCCAAGCGTTTTCGTTTTAATTATATGAATCCAATTAGTATCACAACATGCTATAATCCAACTATCTAACATTCCCTGCCAGTAAAATGCAACAGCTTACCATTTAAAGCTGGCAAAATTGACCCCAAAACACCACATACCTCACCCCTCGCAACCGACGCTGACGCCATGCTGGTTACGGCGGATGAACACAATTTATAAACAATCAAGGCTGCAAAAATATCAGATGCGTTTCGCCCGTGCACAATTTTTTATCGCAGCCAGAAATGACAAATAATACCAAGGTTCTCAAATTGTTATGTCTAAAGCGCGGACAACTTTAAATTTGAGAAAAGCGATTATTACTCGATGAAATTCAAAGAGGTGTCCTAACCTAACCTAACCTAACCTAACCTAACCTAACCTACTGATTTTTGCCTACCGAGCTTAGAAACCTAACCTAACCTACTGATTTTGCCTACCAGGCATAAATAAACCTAACCTAACCTAACCTAACCTACTGATTCTTGCCTACCAGGAATCCTAACCTAACCTAACCTAACCTAACCTAACCTAACCTAACCTAACCTAACCTAACCTAACCTAACCTACTGATTTTTGCCTACCAGGCATTAAGAAACCTAACCTAACCTAACCTAACCTAACCTACTGATTCTTGCCTACCGGGAATCCTAACCTAACCTAACCTAACCTAACCTACTGATTTTTGCCTACCGGATAAGGAAATAGTTACTTGCAGGAATAGATTGCAGGCAATAGTAAATCAAATATTTTCAGGTTAAGTGGTCATGCATCAGGCTTCAGGCCTTTGGCCTGAAGCCAGATACATAACCATTTAACCTAAAAATATTTGATTTACTATTGCCTGTAATCTCTCCTAAGGCATTGCCTTCGGCACTGCACTGCTTCGCCACGAGTTGGCCACAGACGAAAACATGTACAGTACAGGCGAAGAAATGTTGGACGAAGAATGAAAATATGTACAGACAAAAAAATGCACGGACCAAAAAACGAAAATAAAGAAAATGCACGAACGAAAATATTTACGAACGAGACATTTCTGAAGACTTTTTCAGAAAAGTCGCTATCATTCGTCGACAGATCTGGCGCATCTCGTGAGGCGCTTTACCGAAAAAGAAAATTACCGAATTCTCTTCTATTAAAAATTAAAAATACAGAACCGTAATTCCAAAATTATTTGTGTATATCTATCACTTTTTCATAAAAATAGTTCCCCCCCCCACCCAAAACCCCGGTTTCCCACAGTTCCCCTAGTGTGTTGGGTTTTATGAAGATACTACATTTCTGCGTAATGGTATTTAACAACAATTGACATGTTGACAACAGACCGTCGTGCGGCTCCACCGAGATCGTGGTAAGAATACGATTAGTTAGCTTTTGGTCTTAAAATTATGGATCAGATAACTGGAAACCACATTATTCTTACTAAACATGAGTTTCTCTATAGAATGATGTCTATATTATAGGGATTAACTAATTTTGAAGCGGGGACCTCCATGTGTACCGCCGGACCGGTTAGTAGGGTGCCATGCAAAAGTCAGTTCGGACCCATTTTGAATGTGCACACATCACGTACAGGCTACCACTTCCAGTCTTCAGATCTCGAGAACAGCTAGGACGATTGCGCTCAAATTTGGCACATCACTAGGGAGTAGGGACCAGTTACTAGGGTGCAGTGCACAAGTTAGTTGGAATTACCTCTCACAATTTCGCACGTGCAACTGCAATGTAAGGCCCACCTTCTCGCTCGCTCCATTAATTGCCCCAAAAGGTGCTTTACTGATGGCACTATTACCACTCCTGTCGATTGTTGTATTTTTCACCTGGATTCTAATGGCAATAAACATACTCCTTGGAAGAAGGTGACTGTTTCGACAGTTTTCTAGGTCCCTTTTATTGCTCCTGCCTCCTATGGCTCCTATGGCTCCCTATGGCTTGTTTTCACCCAATGCGCAAAGCAGGAACTTCCCCTGATTTCGAGTTGTATCGGTATTGGGGTGAAATATAATTACATTCGGCATAAAAAAGAAATATTACTTCACATAAAAAAGGAAAACCAAAGCAAAACTACTTACCTACATTACATCCAGGAACTTCCACGTTTCCACACTGTCGTCGCCAAGGTCGTCGCTAGAAACGTCAATCGGGCGAAGCTGGGGCGAAGTTGGTTTCAGTTGTTGACTTTTACCACGTGATAAATTACTTTTCGTGCATGGTATTTACCCTTTATGTCCATTTCTTATGATTATATTAGCATTTTAAGTTGTTTCAATGGTGTTTCAAATGAAGCTGAATATATTAAAATGAATTTTGAAAAGTAAAAAGTATTTGTAACATTTTGTAATAGAGTATCACGTGACTAACCGTAGTACATGAACGCCTCCATGCAGTTTGCTTCTAACGGACACCGGTTCACGAGCAGCTCAGCAGCTTGCTTTTACTGTGCGCCATATATGTAAAAGGTATAAGTAAGAAGCAACAGCTAAATGATTCATTCATTATGCAACGCAGAATCTGCGTAAGGGATAATCCGTAATTTAACTACCTACATTATGTTCAGCTGAACCTGGCGGTCTTTCTCTTTCTGCCGCTAAGCTTCCTCATCCAATATCTGGCACCATTACCTCATCTGGACAGTGTGCACTAAAATTTCCCCGGCCCCCAGCCAAGGCTATATAAACCAGGTAGAACGCTCCGGGAAAAAAGTTGGAAACAATAAATTAGTTGCGGCATTCCCTGATGACGCGAATGTGGGTCAGCGGCCGGCGGCCGGCCGCCGCTAACACTGTATGAGGAGGGATGCGCGGAACTTTTGCTTGTTGGTGATTGCGCTAGGCAGTTAAATGGTAATGTTAGGATACGTTTCGAAAGTAAATTGAACGACGCTTCGAACGCCGTCAATGAATTTGCGATACGACGACTATTAGTTTTGTTAGAGCCGGCGAACTTTTACCTTCCGACCGCGCGCGGAGGCGATATGGTGCCACACTGGCGGTTTTTACGATAGCTCAAAATTCTTTTGAGATAAAGAGATGAAATTTGACATGTCCTATCTTTTGATCAAGCTGGATCTTATGGTACAAGTCGCATATTTAAGGTAGGTCAGGTTGTTGACCTATGTTGTCGCTCGCGAGCCTCTGCACAGTCCAAAAACAACGCAATTTCTGAACACTCAGTGCCCAGAAATCCTTCACAGAAAGATGACACTTGGCAGAAAGAAGAGTTGTCGGTTTCTTACCGTTCGTATGTGTCGTGTTTTCACAAGTTTAGTAAGGTCTGGTCCGTCACGTGACCTCCCCTCATAACTCAATAGGTTTACTATCATAGAAGCGTTTATCGATCGCCGGAAATCTTAGCCAATCCCACTGGACACTGGATCCATACCCACATGGGGCCCTCCTGACTGGCCACTCCCTCTGAAATCCACAATAACATTGGGCTGCGGCCACGGTTATGTATTAATGCTTTTCACTAACAGAAATACAACTTCAACCAGCACAGTGCACGCCGCCACAACAGTCCGACCCACGTCCCTGATATCGACTAGCTCCCGGCCGGATGCACATACGCGGAGCCAATCAGTCCGAATGTGACCTGCAGCTTACAATTGCTGTGTCGCATGGCGCATGGCACAGGACGATTCCTAGCAGCTGTCGGCTGGAGTGGAGAAACAGCACGTTGCGACACACCGCGCCGGCGAGCAGAGCTCAGCAGGGCTGGTTGGAGGCTGGAGCCGGAGGTAAGGGCGGACACAGGCACAGACATTGCAGGACAAATAACAGGATGTCAGTTAGGGATATAATTCAAGACGAATGATTCAAGACGGACTGAAATAATACACATTTTGCTCACTTGGATACCAACTTCAAACTTGACGTTTACGTATAGCACCATGGAAACAATGGGCACACAGGAAAGAAACAAAAGATGAGGGTTTTTTAACTCAAGGAAGTAAAACAGCCCGAAGTGCAGACAAGCACATACTTTTGGTAATAGCTATCAGCTGTTCTACTCCTCTTCTCCCTTCATCAACTACTGGACACATTTGAAGCATCATATATAGCACCAATGTCCATAACCAAAGCTTGCAAGTAGTTTTAACTTCTATGAAGCCAAGGGAAATGTGCCTACATCATGCATGTAAACTCAAAATTACACATGCATGACAAAGGAAGCTTATGTAAAGAGAATAGTTGACAAAAGCATCTCATGGTTAAAATTATTCAAAACTGCACACAGGGCAAACATAAAAAGCAGCAAGTGTATTGTTCTGTTATGCTAAGAAATAATCCAAAACAAAATACAATCTTTTCATGTTTGAACTGGTTGTTCTTCTATGCCCCTTCATCCATATCTTGATTACAGATGGGCAGTGTTACTGTAGGCTGATGAAGTGACACTTGATTGCCTTTGTGCGAGTTTCAGTTGCAGCCTCCTTGGTACTGCACTGGAAAGCAGATTGAATTGAATGCCTCTGAAAGATAGGAATACAGGCAGGGTTAGCTGTAGTAGTGTCAATGATAATAGACATGACATTTTTGTCCTTTGACATACATTTGTTGAAGTACAAAAAGGTACAAAAGAAATTGGTTTGTTTCAAGACACGCACACTGCACAAAGCCACACAGACATTACACAGGCATATGAAATTGGTACACATAAAATTTGATGATTTAAAAGGTCAAAACTTGCAATAATAATTGAAGTAAAAGTTACAATCACAATCATTTGATTTAAAATGACTTGACATAAGTCACAAGACGCAACGCTCCTATTCTTTTATGCTTTCATTATCCTCCACATACCTATCAACCAGCTTGATACCAGACTGTGCAATAGTGTGTACATAACCCCATGTTGCCATTTTATTAGAGCAAGTGAGGTTACAACAACAATGCTAATGTCAAACCCACATCTGCAACCCGTACTGCAGTTTCAATCACCTTACAAGCACACCTTCTGGCAGTTTGATAGGCAGAATGGTCATTACTACTTTCCCCTCATATTCAACACATATGCCCTTTATACAGATACAGTTTAGACCTGGTTATGGCAAGCACTTTCAAGAAAAGATATGATTTAAGTCCAAGACAAAGGTCGAGAGAAACAACACCAACATAAAACACCGACTATGTAGCACTAATACTGTGAAATTCATAAAAATATATACATGAGTCGATCAGAAATTCACTGTAGATTTCGAAAATGGTGGCAAATGCCACTCAAATACCCCCATTCGCATGTACGAAGCAATAAAACACTGACCTTCAATTCCGCGTGCCATTCTCCATAGGCCACTGTGTATTAAATAACGCGTTCACTGATAGCAAAAAATGAGACCCACATATGACGCGTTTGCTACCAGCCAATCAGCGCTCGAGTTACCAAGCGCTGATTGGTGGAGAGGGCCGTCGTCAGCAGCTAATTACATGTTGTTTTCCTTGAACATGTGCGTGAGCGCTGATGCTGCTCACGGGCTGTTGCCATTTTTTGTAATGCTGAAGACACGGGAGCGAACCCCCCTGCCCCCAGCCCAGGCCCTAGCTCATTCAGTCTTTGATCCCCTCCAGCCACTAGTGTCCCTTCCCCTACCCACTGAACAGTGAACACTGGCGTCATCCTTGTCATAGCAATTACTTGCGTTGGTGCAACCCTCATGTTCACTTCCGCGGCGCTAACGGCCTTGATTCGTGAACCTAGTAGTGTGAACCTCGGTCATTTGAGCACTCATAAACTACTCTTCTCCTGGTCCCGTAAACTACCCTTTGCCGGTCCCGTAGCTCAGTTGGTAGAGCGTTGGACTCCTCGTGGTGAGAGCACGCGCCACGCGCTCCAGGTTAAAACAGTCCGGGTTCGAAGCGCGACGGGCGCTCGACATTTATGGGCCTCCTGGCAGGTATGGTTGCGGTTGGTGGCAGGCCGTAACCAGGCGAAGTCAGTGAGGGGACCGGCCGTGCGCGGCTGTGTGCGCACGTTAAACTTTGGACTCTAAGTCTAAATTCTGCCATAGAACTGGAATTGCGCGATCGGAGGGTAGAGGGCAGGATCACCGCAACAAGCTACGCTTAGCGGTGGCTCTGTCCTTGCGAATCCTTCCTATCAAAAGGTTCGGACTAAATTTAGGTCCTATATAAAAAAGGTGCCTCGGCTCAAACATGTCAACACTGCCTCGATTGAATTCTGGCACGCTGCTGCCTATGTAACCTGCCGACCAGTCTCCACTGGCACTATCCTGCTAATCACACTGGCGTAACGTGCGATTTGTGACGCAATTTAGTTCATGGCCATCGACTGAACACGGGCGGTGGCGGGTGTCCATCTGCCAAACACGGGCGGAGGGAAACACTGTCCATCTGCTCCCTTGTTCTCTCGCGATCACCCCCGGACACCGACGGTCAGCGGAGCCAGAATGGTCCCCAGTTATTGGACGCGTACTTTTCGCAGCATAGAGAGCGGAATGGATCAAACAGCCGCCATTCCGGAACCATTGACGAAAAAGTTCGTAGGCGTGCTTCTCGGCAACCCCCACGACGGGCTGAGCGATTAACACTTTAGCTAGGGCGGTCATTTTAGCTTTCAACCATTCAACCATGTGCATTGTGCAATGATCATCCGGAAGAGCGCATGAGTAAAACAAAAAGGGCTGACAATTGTGCGACTAAAAGACTTCCTCGCAATTGGCCTCGATTGGCTGAGCCCTCGTGTGCGCCGGCGTTTTACGCGTAACATAGAACCACTTTAGAGCTTATCGATCTGAGCGAGGGGAAATCAGAGAAAGCTTTAACGCTGGCTTTATTAGAAAGTTGTACTATCTTCAGTATCACGCTGCACCATCAATGCATCACCATCTTATTGGCCAATACAAACACGAAATATTCTGCAAAACAGCGTGACCAACGGCAGTTCCACAAAACACAGTAGGTATCTCTATTGCTTAGTTAAATCTCATCGCCTTGCAAAATCAAGCGCACATCACCACGGAGCTGAAACTACGCAGGTCCCGGCAAGAACGGATACCGAAAACTAAACAATCAAAGCTGGGGCTGGCACGTAAAGCACAGCATTCATCCACGACAGACACATATGCCAGGAGCTTCACTGTACGCAATTACCAGGCTTGGCGATCATCAACGCGACAATAGCAGCAGCCTGAGCATACTGCGGCTGGTGTTTGTCTTGGGTGTTTGTTGAAGAACGCAACGTCGTATACAGATCTCACAAACCCCTTTACTGCTGTTTCCTCCTCTTCGCTTTCGGCCTCGACCTGTTTGCGCCGGGCTTCCGCTTGTTCATGCCCTGACGCAGCTGCCACACTGTCTTTGAGGTCTCAGTTTCCGGCTCAAGCATCCACAGGTGGTCGTGATTGAGGTTAACCGGATCGGACTCGTCGAGATCACTCAGATGATCGTCCATACCAGCGGAGTTCGGTGGTGGCTGCAGGGAAAGCAGGGCTGGCCAGAAAAACATGGACACGAAGCGCGCCAGCAGCAGGTGCCAGGCATCGGCTGCGTCAGCCGCCGGAGGATGGCCGGGGGGCAAGGGAGGCTGCATGC